TTAATTTGCTTCCGCTACTATTTTACTTGAACTTGGTTTGTAATAACCTTAATTTGTACTCTGATGGATGAACTGTATTTGTGAACTTTATGAAATGTATGACATGTATGTTGAATTATGTACGATCTTGGTTGTATGTTGATGGTTAATCGAGACCCTTCATGGTACTCGATGGACTACCGGGTTTATATGGGCTCAAGTATGACAGTGCGACCACTTGCGGGCTGCGATTGTACTTGTGCTCTTATAAATTGGTCGGTTCTGCTATAGCAGCATCTCGACGTTCAGCCTAGCCGATGACAAAACCGCTTGGACCTCGTGGTAATCCTTCAACAATTGATGGTAGTCTACGTCATCTAAGGATTTGTGCTCCTCTAACGATTCGCCCAGTTCAAAACTAGAGGGCTGTGCAGGGACAGACGGGCTCAGTGATGGCAAGCGGTGACTAGATGACTCTCCAGCACCACCGGGGGAAAGCCCCAAGATCGGGGATGGCGCCGCCATGGAGGAAGCACTGCACAATGCAAGTCAAGTTCAAGCCCATATAGGATAAGGGGAGAGCGATCTGATTGAGAAGGCAAATGACTTTTACCGAACTGACCGGTGTAGCATGGCATGAAATCATGGGTGGCTACCTCCATCGGGGGATGCTTCGTGGGGCCACTTTCCGAGCACGACCATGGATGAAGAACTGGGCTCCAGGGCCAACCAGGCTCGGGACACCGTCACGCCCACGTTCACCTGTTGAGATAGTAGGCAAATTCCAAAAACTACTTAAATTAAATAGCATGAACACAAATACTAGTGTGAGGATTGCTCACATACTCTAGTTAAATGAAGATAAACAACATGAACAACAGTGATGGTCCACCTCCAATGGGGGAACTGTGGGTGAGAGACCACGCTGACAAGAGATCCGTCTGTCGGTGGAGGATTGCCAGCGTAGAAGGCCTCCGAGGACTCCACATCAATAGACGACCTCGTCCACTCTACCATGGTCCTAGTAGGAAGCGTCGGTGGCACAGTAAGGTGGAAGGCAAAAACTTTAGGATGGAATTAGGAGCTCTAGAGAGAGAAGACAGTAGGTATAACCTTCCCTCTCACCCCTTGTCTCTGCTGCTATAGTTTGGGGGCCGTTGACCACCCCACGACCAACACATTTGCATGGGTGGGCGGTGGGGCTTTGCCCCATCACGTCAATGCGATGGGCTAGGTGGTGACGTCCCCTACTATAACTGGCTGCTGACGCCACCCATGCTCGTGCACCTACACAGGAATGCAGGAGCACGTCGTCTGCGTAGTCAAGATTTTAGACGGCTAGACCTTGTGTGATCCTATGAAGTATAAAATTTCTGAATAAAAATAATCCTTAATACATGGTTCTTGAAAGTTCAACAAATCTTATCAAATACACAAAAATAAGATGAGTTGGGTTCAACATAGATCAAAGCCACTCATGACTACTACTACTACTGATACAAATGTTGTGACCGAATGCACTCCGTAGGCAATAGTTGTGCTCATAGCTCTGTACTGTATAGTGCCCGACGAGATTAAATGTGCCATATTTGGACTTTCTTGCAAGCATAGTAAAATATGAGAGTGAAGCAAATGCGGCAGGAAAGCTGGACACAAGAAGTGAATCGAGAAAAGGAGCTTTTGACACGCTTGAGACTTGAATGCCTAGTGCAGTTGTAATAGGTCTTTTCTGTACTTATTTTATTCCAATCCAAGCACTCACAACAGTCGAGGGGTAGACTAAAGGCGTGTCTAGCTCGGTTAGATTTACAATGCTCAGACCATCACAGGGACTCTAGGGCAAGGCAAGATAAAGATTTTTTTCCAACCGGTATGCTTCACCTCGGGTACCATCGTGCTCCCTCAAGACTCACAACCTATCATACCATAGAAGGCATGTTCGACCAAAGATGCAGGCGCATTGATGTTCCCAACCGTACACTGATCAAAACAGAGCACGTCTCCTCCATTTATGCCGATGAGATGTCATGAGCCTCGGCGCTGGTTTTTACTAGAGTACATGTTAGCTCCTCCACTAATGCCCCATCAGTGCATGCACTCCTTTTGTTTGTGACAACACCAAAAACACAAAAAAAGAAAGCCCCCCACGAGTGGAGAATGAGAACAGAGATATATTAACAAGGATTCCACAAGATTGTCAAGTTCCCTAGTTGGCATGGCGGGGCAGCAAAAACATATGGCAGGATCAAGCCAAAGCGACCTAGAGTGGTTGAAGATCCTTCGTCCAGGAATGTTTGTAGAGACATTGGTAAGTGTCCGTTTTCTATGTAGATCCGATCTGCTGGGGTTGGCCTTTGGGAATGAACTTGTCCCTCTATCTGGCTTTGATGATTGTTGTGCACATAGAAGCTGCCGGCTGCAATGGCCTAGGCTGTTGAAGGTCGCTGGAAACTCGAGCTTTGTCTGGACACCAAGTAGAGCTTGGCTCGATGGAAGGTGGAGGTGTTCCCCGATGACAGCCACTTGTACCTCCGCCAGGGATGGAAGCACTTTGCCCGTGCCCTCGATCTCCAAGATGGGTTCTCTCTTGTATTGCAGTATGATGGTCGGTCACAGATTAATGTCAAGGTCTTTGACCTTACCACCTGCCGCAAGCAGCACCCGCACAACTTCAAGGTCGGTGGTAGTTAGCTCTCCCTGCCCATTGTGGAGCCGAGGAGTTTTGCAGTGATCCTATAGAAGTACCACCTCAAAGCAAAGTATCTGGTGAGCACTCGCACGAGATACAGAATGTACCAATGATGTCGCAGGTTACCATTGTCCTCTTTGTCATCAATCTTTTTTTGTGTGAGGTGAAGAACGTGCCAAGTGACTTTGAGCAAGCGCACGACTACAAGCAGCGGCGCATCATCGAGCTGTAGATGACTGGGCAGTCCTGGTTCGTGGGCTTAGAGAGGACCTTCATGAATAAAGTCTTGTGAGTGTCATTCAAATATGGGTGGGACGACTTCTGTGCTAACAACAACCTCAACATCGGCAACACCTACTTCTTCATGGGGTGACTTTTCTTGCTCTGTTGTGTTGATATTCCATAGAAGCTTGAGTTAATAAATGCCTTTGTAATCTAAAAAGATGAAAAAACTTGGAATACCTATGAGCCCAAAACTTGTGCCTCCAAAGGCAAAAAAGTCAAGCACAATGGGTAGACACGGTGAAGATTTGGAATATATCACATCTCAACCAGGGGAGGTAGTTGAGGGATTTGATGATACAGATGAAACAGATTCAGATTTAGAAGATGACCTAGTACCCCTATCAATTGAGGTGCTTGTTCTATCTTGTATTTAGTTTGGAGGGGGTGGGGTGTAGGTAGCAATGCAATGCTTTACTATTTGGAAAGCAATGCAATTTGTACATGCTTGCTGCTTAAGTTTGTATCTCCAATTTCAGTGTCCGGGTCAAAGAAGCCATAAAGGAGGCTCTGCCAACAGGACAAATGGCAGCGCTGCCATGAGTCCTAGGCGAAGGCACTCTAAGCGAGTGAATTCAACATGACTAGGAGAGTTTGCTCATGGAGTTTGTACTCGGAGGGCTGCCACTGGCAAAAGGGTGGAGGTATCAGCAGTAGGTGAACATAATTCTCCATCACCATGGATATCTGAACCCAGGGATCAATTCAAAGTTCATGAATTGACTAGAGACATTTGTCGGGATGTCACCCTACCTAGCCCTGTGAGAGACTGCCCACGGCCAGATGATGATAGCCATGCCGAAAAGGAGCCCTCTGAGCAAACTCCCGTCTCCCCCACCCACAAAACAATGAAAGTTGTCTAGGTTGGTATTACCTTACAGATGTCTATAAATCAATTAGCACTAGCTATTTGATATCCATATTACTTTTCTAACAATCTGAATGTATGAACACTTTATAGTACCATTGACAAGCAGAGCGAGGAAGCTGATGCCTTGAACTTGTGGAATTTTGCTTGCCAAAATGTGCAAATCACTGGGAGGATTGAGGATGCTCATCTCTGCTGCCGAGGGGAACAGAAGGCCACATGATCCAGTGCAAGCTGCAAAGTTTGTGTCAGAGGCAGGTGTCATGCTGGACGTCATATAACGACCGTCGCAAAAAGTACCTTGTGACGATAATATGGAAAACCATCACAAAATGTGATGACCTTTTGTGAAGGTTTTGTTGTGTTGTCATATATTATTGTCATTTAATGATGACTATAACTGTCACATGTTGGTTGGACAACTCGTCGCCTAATACATGAACCGTAAAAAATTGTACGTTAGAAGCCCTGATTTAGACTAGTTATTGCGAAGACACGGTAACATCATATATAAGTGTGTAGATTTTATGACATTTTGATTGTGTCTTGTTATGTATAGTAGTTAGAGACATCTTCAGACTACTGTAGGACATCATAAATTTTCCTTTCATTCAATGATGAATGTGGCAGCCATATGTGCTAATGCAATGACGAATGTCACACAGATCTTTCATCATAGCTCATAAAAGCATACACATATTAGCCAAGCCATCATCCACAACATTCTCATCACAGCTCATAAATCATACACAATTCAGCAAAGCCATCATAGACATACATTCCAGACCATAAGATAGTGCTTGCAGGTTCACACATCACATAGTTCTAGGTTCCACCACTCAGGTTAAAACGGTTCCACCACACAGGTTCAAAGATACAAATAGATTGCACATAGGTTCTAACAACACAGTGCACAAAGTTGCAACAGAGAAAGTTTGGCATTCTAGCAAGGTAGCAAAATCTTAGGCAAAGGCATCATCAACAAAAACTGCATTCAGACCTACCTCAATCTTTCTGAAGTTTTAGCACAGCTCGCAACAGTGCATTAGTCTCTTCAAACTTGGTATGCATCCCCTTCACTTCTTCTTGGGTCAAGCGCATCAAATTTTGGTTTTCTTCAAGTGCTGCTTGGTTGGCTTCAAGTGAGGCCTGCTGAGCAAGAAGCTGTGCTTCCAACTGTTCCTATTTCCTAGCAACTTTCTCTCTTTTTGCTTGGAGTGTTGCCTCAAACTGAGCTTGCAGGCATGCTTCTGTGGCTGTCGTTGTAGACCGGGTAGTCTTTGACACTCGAGCAACACCAATGTTTGGAAGGAAGGTGGATGAACGGCTGATCTGGCTTAGACTGTCAGCAACAATCTTGGAGGGAGACTTTTGTGCTTCTCCTTCTTCTGGTTTTCTTTCCTTCTCTGCAACCATATGTTCCTACATAGAATGAATCCACTTAACAAGGCCATACAATAGTGTTCAACCAGGCATTTACTTGAGTATAGTACATGTATCCAATAAATATGTAACTTACATATATCTCATTTGCAAGAGGAGTACGACCATTTTGTGGACTATTCATACATTCCCCAAAGAAATCAACAGGATCTGGATCCATGTTTTTGTACTTAGGCCTCTACAGCATGCAAAAAATTTGGATTATAGTGATATCCGTGAAGGTAAAGAGAGGACTGGACAAACATTGGATATAAGATTAGCCATAAATTATTTTTACATGTCAACAGCAAGATACCAAAATATGTATGCACTAAAGATCATACAATTATCGACCTATAGATTTTTTATGCCAACAACAAATGCAATCACTGGCATAGTCAACTAATTACTACTATGCTATGATAATCAACATTCACATGTATTTGATTCCCAGTTGGCCATCGACATAAAAACAATTGTGCATCAATGCAACCTGGATAGATCAAGAAAAACAACACAAAAACATGAATCAATGCAACCTGGATAGATTCGATCCAACCAAACATCAGGCAATCAGGTTTGTCTCCATAACATTCCACATTTCAGTGCAAGAACTAATTAATGGCACATAGTTCCTTATAATTGGAATACACAGAAAGCAATAGTATCCATACTAGGCTGTATCGATGGGAAATATAGGACCTAGATCCAGTCCTTTGGTGAAGCTGCACTTGGCCTTGGTTTACTTTATTCTTAGCACATTTATCCCACACCACAAATGCAATACAGAGGTTTCATTCACATGCACAGTTTGCATTGCATATTAACAAAAGTAGATAATGCAGGCAAGGACCTAATTCTTTGGGTCACACCAGTACTCAACCAGTTGGATCCATTCCTCTTTCTTCATTTTAGGTGGAGGTTCTTTGGCCAATAGCTGTTCTATTGTCAGTGAGTCATTGAAGTACTTCCTTTTAAGGTGATACCTCTGCTGCCTTACTCCCTTCTTAATGATATTAGTGCATGCAGCTTTGCTTGGTCCCTCATTCCTAACATCCACATCCAACCTTGACTAAAGCCACACAAATGAATTATTAGACACAACTTTCATATGGGAGTATTGTAATGCATGAAAATATTTGGAAGAATGAAATAGTTGTCTCACCGCCACTTTCCTAAGCACTTTTGATACTTCTGCCTGCCCTTGCTCATTATCATAATCTTTCCAAGATGTGTAGATAGGCAGGTTGTCTCTAAGGGCAACACCACATTCTGATGCCATCTTCGTGGCTTGAAGTGGGACCTCAGGTCTTTTCTTCCCTTCAGCCACCTCGATAGCCAGCTTCTTTCCTCTATTAATCATCTTCTTTAAGCCATGACCCATGGTTTTCTTGAGGAGATTCTTTTGGGGCGCTGCATTGGCAAATAATAATAGAAATGTTTTATTATAGCAGTAGCAATTGTAGATATTGAATGGAGAAACTAATGCTTGGAAACACATATTGTTTATCTAGAACCGAGTCATGGACTAGTTCTCCTTCAGTTGTATTATCCTCTAAATTAGCAACATCAAATTGCTTAGCTGACTCATTGATGTCGTTGCTTTGCCTAGAGCTTTGTCCACCTAGTGAGTTGTCCACAGGAACTGTTCGGTTAACACTGTTTGTGGGAGTAGGTTGCTGAGACAGGTTAGCAGTGAGTCTAGTAGGACTAGGCACTCTGTTTGCACTAGGTGAAGACATGGCTGCACTACTCTTGGTGAATCTAGGAGGACTAGGCACTGTGTTTGGACTAGTCAAAGACATGGCTGCACTGGTCCTGGTGAATCTAGGAGAACTAGGCACTATGTTTATTATTTCTATGGTCTGGCTGGCACTTGTAGTGAAATGGCCTTGCAAATGGCTGCTATTGGAAATGGCATTTGTATTAGGGTTGGCTTTCAAATTGTTCCTAGTAGGCAAGTTCTGTCTTGGCCTAGGTGGCGGAAGACCTCTAGTGGTCCTAGTTTTTGCACCAGGCGAAGACATGGCTGCACTGGCCCTGGTGAATCTGGTTGGCGTGCGCGATGGCTGCTAGTTGGTAGCTACCATTGTAGCCACCTTTTTCTCCATCTATTCAGGGCAAATTTTGGGAACCATCGGTCTTACCTGGCAAGAGAAGCAGGCATCTTATAAATTAAGAAGACGACAATAGATTAAATAACTATAATGAAGTATATGTTTCAAATAGACAGATATGTAAACTTGTAAATTGGCCTAGTAATCCATCTCACCTCAGTATTGACCTTAGTATTGAGGTCATCATCATAATCATCATCACTGTCAGATTGGTTATCAATGTCAGAGGATGGATCATATTCAATGTCAGATTCTGGTTTGTTAGACACTAGTCTCTTCCCTTTGCCCTCTTTCCCTTTTGAAATAACATCCCTAACAGTCTATGCTAACACTGGAATACCCAAAGACTTAAAAACATCATGAACCTTCTTAACATTCTTGTCCCTCTCCTGCTCATACTTTGTTTTTGGCATTTCTTCTAATACTTATTATGATGAAACACAGAAAGAGTAGAAACTAGATTTAGTTTCTATAAAGAAGTTGAAGAAATAACTAACATATCAGTATAGAAATTGTAAACGAAATAAAGGAGCAGTCTAATAGTCAGTCAAAATGCACTTTCAAATGATGAACTTGATAATGCAACTTATTCTACTAAATGCTAGAACCAAACCAACATGCTAGAGACAAAGCTAACATCAGTACTCTTCTACAACAAGAAGAAGAGGAAATACATAAGTATTATTCATAAAGGCAATATCTGTATACACCACACCTGAAAAGAAAATACTAAACAATACAATACTTATGCTCACTACAATACAACAGAACATTTCACAACATTCATTTTGTTTCAGCAGATTCATATGCATTTCAATACTATTTATGAATTGCTAATTGCCGTAGCTATAAGGCAAAATCAGAAACTAGAAAGAAAAGAACTGTAACCTTAGCAAAATTCATCATGTTCTAATCTATGCATTCAAAGTCATTAACCTAATGTTTAGCTAAAAATGAAAATCTCAGCTCACTGTTACAACCAGTCGTCGCAGCTAACAAGTGAAGGAAGCAAATCACCTACTACGAGGAGCACACAAAAGTGGCGGTGACGGCGTGATGAGGCTAGGGCTGGGAAGACGACGGCAGGAGGCGGCGGCGACGCTTTGCGTGGAGCCATGGAGATCAACCGGCGGAGGTGTGGCGGCAGGATGGGTGGCTCCAGGCACCGGGGGAGGTGTGGTGGCGAGATGGGAGGATCCGGCCACCGGTGGAGGTGTGGCGACGAGATGGGCAAGTGCCGACACTAGGTTGAGGGTAGGGAGGAGGAGGCCATGGTCTATGGGGAGTGGAGATTTTCCCCTTTGTCTGACCGGCCAAGAGGAGAAGGCACGCTGCAGTCGCGAGGGGAATTTTGCCATTCTTGAGCGAGAGGCGTGGTGGGTCCCATGTGTCGGTGAGCGAATCAGCACGGGAGAGCTGCGAGGTGTAGCTGCCAAATTTGGGTCTAGCGTGGTGGGTCCACTATGTCAGTGACCGTATTAGTAGTATTAGGAATTCAAATAGATTTTTGGGGTAATAAATGATTTCAAATTGAAAAAATGTCAGAAACAAAGTTGTATAATGCATCGAGATCTACCACTTTGATTTTGGTCATTTTTTCATATGACTTTGTTTCGATAGTTTGAATTTTGAATTTCAAAATATTAGAACTTCGAACAAAATTTTGGGGTACTAAGTAATTTCAAATGAAAAAGTCATGAACATAAAAGTTGCACAACTCATCAATATCTACAACTTTTATTTTGTTCATCCGACAAAGTGATAGTAACATAGTTCACAAATTTTACATATCTCATAAACTATTAGAGAGATACATAAAATTTGTGAATAAGGTTACTATAACTTTGTCGGATGAACAAATGACCAAAATAAAAGTTGTAGATCTTGATGAGTTCTACAACTTTTATTTTAATGACTTTTTTAGCTGAAATCATTTGGAGTTTCCAAATCTGGTTTAAAGTTGTCATTTTTTTGAAATTCAAATTTTGGATTGTTGAAACTGTCACATGAAAATATGACCAAAATCAATGCAATAAATTGATAGATCATGATTTTAGAAAATTTTAGGAAAAAGCATCACATTTGGAGTTAGTATGTGGGAGAAATACTAGTTACAACTTTTTGCCATAGATTAAAAAGAGAAATGATGTTTGCACAATGAATTCATTACAAGAGAGGCTAATTAGTATGCAGGGCCCACATGTCATTCAAACATTGGACCCACATGGCAGTCAAAGCTTGAGATTACCAGGGGGTACTTAGCATGCTATGGCTAAGAAGCAGAGCTACAGAGGGTAGAGGTCGGCCACACAAGCTCTGGCCGGCCACATCTCGGCCACTCTTGTCGCCGACCATCAACCTGCCATCTCGTCAGTGACCTCACATGTAACCTCACTGGCCCCCCTACCAGCAACCTCGCCAGCAAAGCCACCTGCAGCCTCGCCGTCCACCCCACATGGTAGCCTATCATCGGTGACCCCAGCTGCTGCCTCGCCGGCGACCCCAGCTGCTCCCTCACCGGTCACCCCTGCTGGAGCCTCGCCGGCCACCCTAGCTGCTGTCTCACTGGCCCCCACCTACTGCCTCCCCCCTCCCCCCCACCAGCAGCCTCATCGGCCACCCTAGCTGGCAGCTGCTGCCTTCGTCGGCCATTGTACAAGGTCAGCTAAGTCAACCATAGCTCTTCCCCTTTAGATTTGTTATTATAGTGCCTGTAGTTGAATTGAAGAATAGAAGCTCGATTGTAACATTTTGGTACCTAAATTTATCCAGGTTCAGATGGATAGAAGCTGGATTATAACAGTGCACCATTTAGTGATCCCTATATGTCTGGTGTTGAACAATTAATGGAACATGTCAGAAGTAGATTTAGTGTAGATGAGGAAATCAAGTGCCCATGCTGTCGATGCTTGAACCAAATAGAAAAAAGTCAAGATGAGGTAGAGGAAGATATCCACATCAATGGTATTTCTAGGTGCTATACAAGGTGGATTCACCATGGAGAGGGAGATAATGATGTTGAACAAGATGATGGCACACTCGCTGTTGGTACTAAAGATATATCATGGGATGGAAATGACTAGGCTCCACTTGATGATGAAGGACAAGCTGAAGATGTCATAGAAGATAGTGCACAGGGAGTTCACGGGTTGATTCAAGATTTGTACACCGTAGCAAGCCATGGCTTCGGTGGTAACTTATATCGAGAAATCATGGAAGAGGCAAAGCGTGAACTTTATCCAGGTTGCACCGAGGAGTCCAAGTTGACTTTAATTATTAAACTGTTGCATATAAAAGTGTACAATCGGATGAGAAATTCTAGGTTCAATGCATTCCTTGAGTTGCTTTCAACATCGTTGAAGAATGTTCCTGGCCTCCATAAGTCCTATAACGAAACTAAAGCTCTACATTGGAAACTTGGTTTTGGTTATGTTGCTATTCATGTGTGCAAATATGATTGTGCCTTATTCTGGAAGGACCATGAAAATGATGATCATTGCCCAGTTTGTGGTGAATCAAGATGGAAAGTGCACAAGGAGGGTAGAAAGAAAGTTCCTCACAAGGTCCTATGTGTAACACCCCAGTGTTAAGCATTGCATTTGGCATCTGCATTTCATGAGCACAAGCATCATCCAAGCATTCATGAACATGAGCATATGAAATTTCATCCCATTCTTATACATTATCACATGAAATGTTGATTTTATATATATGCTCATGCTTGTAATCATATGTGACCAATGTATGAAATGGTTGTGAGGTCATGAAAACACCTTAGACACATCTAGGATGATAAATGGAACAATGTTTGTATTCATGACATAGACCAATTTTGCTTCTAAGTGTTGGTTTCATTTGAAATGCCATTTTCATGATCCTAGTTTGACTAAAGTTGAATAGTAGCTTAGAGTGTTTACATGGCTATGTGACCGAAATAAAAGTTGTAGTTATTGTCATGGGTAACAAACTTTATTTAAGGGTCAAGAGCTAATTTAGTGTCTAACATGGTCAAATAGAGCTCACAGGTATCAACAAAAATGCAGTTTTGTGACTTAAGAAAATTTCTAAGTGTTGAAACTGTTTTCAGTTTTAAAGTACCTCACTTTGGAGCAATGTAGTTTGTTAACCAGTGAGAATTAGATGATGGTTCTTAAAGCAAAGTTGGATATCTCACGTAGCTCTACACTTGTTATTAAGGGAGTTTTTGCTAAATCACCATGGATTAGGAGTTATAGAATCGCTAAGTCACACTGTCACACATCTGTTGCCGGCCTGAAACCGGCCGGGGCAGCGAGTGCCGTGGCCGACCGGCCATAGGCAGTGGCCACCGTGTGGCAGCAGCACGTCGATGTTGGCTCAGCTGGTCGGGCCAGCAGGGGAAGATAAGAGAGGCGAAGCCGCCGCGCTCACTCACTCTCGCTCTCTCGCCCTCCCTCTACCTCGCCTTCGCCGCGCCAGTGCAGAATCACAGCGCCGCCGTCGCCGTTGCACCTCCGCCGAGCCCATAAGTAGCCGCCACCGCACCACCATCTAGTCTATCTCACTCATAGCTCCACCACCACCTCCTCCAGCTTGCCGACAAGCTAGCACCATCATTCGAGCAAGGGTAAGGCCGCATTTTACGTCGCCGTCGCCACTATGTTCACAGAGCGTCGCTGAGCTCCAAGCTCACCGTGGCCAGCCCTATCCACCGCTCCTCCCATCTATCTCTCTCTTGCTACATCGTGCTCGTTGGTACTAGAAGCTATAGCCATAGCTTGTTGAGCCGCTACTGTGTCGCCAATGCCTGAACGCGGGCCGCACCGCCGTGAGCCGAGACTGCCACCGCCATGCCCACCGCTGTGGCTATGCATGCCCAGTTCTCTTCCTCATGCGCTTCTAGACGTTAGAGATAGGTCAGAGCTAGGTCT